TCTCTACCTCTGTCTGGGAAGTTTTCCACTATTACTCCTGTGAACAGTTTTTTTTATGTCAATTGTGCTTTCTCCTGTTTTTTCATGGACTCCTATCAGTCTTATGTTATTCTTCTTTGCATCATGTAGCAGTTGTTGGATTGATTTCTCATGGTTCCTTACTATTTTTAAGAAATCTTACACATAGAGAGTTTAAGGCCAGCCTGAACTACACAGCAAGACCCTGTCTTTAAAAAAAAAAGAAAGAGGGCCGGAGATTTAGCTCAGTGGTTCCAGCGCCTGCCTTGCAAGCACAAGGTCCTGAGTTCGATCCCCAGTACCAAACAAAAAAAAAGAAAGAAAGAAAGAAAGAAAGAAAGAAAACGAAAATTCTAGAAAAGACAAAAACACCCACTCTATTAACCATCAAAATAAAATCTACCTACCATAGCCACTGAAAAACTTCACTGTACACTATCAGAGAATAAGAGTGAAAAAAGTAAATATCATCTGAGAATTATTACACATGCACAGTTTTTGTCTCACCCTGAGAACTCTGTGGCCATACCTTGAGAAACACTGTTTATGAGAGGAAGTGGGGAAAGGAGGGAAAGGAGGCATAAAAAAATTAAGATGTGTCATGTACATGTATCAACTACCCATAAATGTAACCATTATGTACTGTAAACATGCACTAGTAAAAACTTTTTAAAAAAAAGAATCACTGTTTAAAGAGCAAAGTGTAATGAGTATGGTGTTACATGCCTATAATCCCAGTTACATGGGAGGCAGGAGGATTCCAAGTTTCAGGGCAGCCTGGGCAACTGAGAACCTATCTCAAAATAAAATTTAAGGGCCGGGGATTTAGCTCAGTGGTTCTGCCGCCTGCCTTGCAAGCACAAGGTCCTGAGTTCGATCCCCGGTACCAAATAAATAAATAATAAAAGGTCGGGTGATGTAGCTTAGCATTCCCTAGGATTAATACCTAATATCACAAAAACAAAGACACAAACAAACCCTTTTTTTTTCCTATCCCTAATAAATTATTTTAGGAAACAAAGAGTTAAAAGACAAATTTAACTCCCTACAATTGTAGAGTACTTCTGAGGACTGACATTATACTCAAGTCTTTCTAGAGACAATAATTTCTAATGGTATGACATCCTAGTCTTAGCCACATGTGGCTTTTCCCTCTGGACTGTGCTGGGAAAGCCACTGAGAGCTCAGCTCCTCTCTCTCTCACTCTTCCTCAAGAGTACCTTGAGCCGTGTGTCCTTTCTCCTGCCTCACTAAGCCCTCAATTCCTTCCTCCTTGCCTTCTCTTTCCATTCCATCCCACTCCATGCCTTTCTGAGAGACTCCCACTGCCCTGGACCCCATTCTGCACATAAAAAGCTAAAACCATAAAAACTCTTGAAGAAAATGTAGGTAAAAATACTGAGGCCATTTTTAACACGTCTAAGATGGAAAACAAAATAAAAACAGGTTGAGTTTTGTAAGAACATGCAACTTTCACCCAAAACACACTGTCAACAGACTGAAGAGTAAACCGGAAGGAAATTTTGACAAAATACACAAGATAGAATATCTTTCATACATATGGCTCTTAAAAATTGACTTCTAGGGCCAGGGATTTAGCTCAGTGGTTCTGCTGCCTGCCTTGCAAGCGCAAGGACCTGAGTTTGATCCCCAGTATCAAAATAAAGAAACAAAAAATTGACTTCTAAAAGATGCAAAGTATATAGAGTACATAGAATAAGTAAACATAAATGGCCAATGAACATGGAAAATGTCTGCCTCAATACAAATAGAAGTTAAAACCTCAGAAATCCTCTGAATGCCTCAATGAAGAGCCACAGTTATTTCAGTCACAGAGAGCCCACATCTGGCAGAGCAGGTGGTTGTCTGCAACTTTGCCCTCTGGAACCAGGATAACTGAGAGTCCCACTCAACCCCTGGCCCCACAGCCTCCTAAACACCACACTGGAACCATCCTTGGAGTGTCCTCTTTTTTTAAGAGCATTAGAATCCCAGCACTCAGGAGGATGAAGTAGGAGGACTGCCATGAGTTCAAGGCTACCCTGGTCTATATAATAAGTTCAAAGCCAGCATGAACTACATTGTGAGACCCTGTCTCAAAAAAAAAAAAAAAAAAACAGCATGAACTACATTGTGAGACCCTGTCTCAAAAAAAAAAAAAAAAAATAGCAAGCACTCAAGTATTAGGGAGGCAACTCAAGAACTCAAGTCCAAGATGTCACTATGAGCCTCACTCACCAGCCCTGCTGAATACCTGCTATTCAGGCTCACTGCATTTATATACAGAAGGCTGTTTATGCCTGTAATTCTTACCAAGGGTTTCCACCAGCCTGCTTCTCCAATAATAACCTCTTCTCATCTTCAGAAAACTGTAAGTCCAGTTCGAAAGAGTTAGTGTCCAAATCGTGGATGTACTGCTCTATGTTGCTGTCCGACCTATGGGGCAGGCTGGCATCCACCACAGACAGGGAATGGGAGGAGGAGGATGATGACACTTGCATGCAGCCAAACTGGCTCAGGAGATTATCATACTGCAGGGAAGAAGGAAAACAGAAAGGTCCCTTCATTTGCTTCTCGAGTCAAAAACCCACACAGCATCTATCCCTGAGGCCCTCCCACACTAGTGGGCTCACATACACCACACCAAGGCAGACTGCCCATCTGTCCCTTCTGGTAAGTGTAGTGAGATCTTACTCTCCTCCACCACCATCTGGCTGCTAAGCCAAGGCAGTAGTGATTTTAGTGTAGCTCTGGAAGATTTTTAGGTACAAGCTAAAGTTCCTCAGTCAACTGAAGTGGAACTCCATGCATGGGAACTGGCTAGAAAACATTTCAATGACAGTCAAACCAGAAAAATGTATATCAATGATAAGGAACTTCTAAAATCACTTTTAAGTACAGTGGGGTCACAACAGAGACTGGTAAAAGAGCCTAGATAGGCTGGGCATTTAGCTCAGTGGTGCCACCGCCTGCCTTGTAAGCGAAAGGTCCTGAGTTCTATCCCTGGTAGCGGAAAAAAAAGAGCCTAGATAGGCTAGGCACGCATGATGGGTCTAATCCCAGCCCTTGGGAGGCTATGGGAGGAAGATTTCAATGATTTCAAGGCCACGCTGGGCTACACAGTGAGCTCAAGGCCAGCCTGAACTACACAGTGAGACTCTGGCTCAAAAAAAAAAAGAAGAGCCTGGATGTATGAGACTGAAGACTAGAGTGGAGGTGGGTACACTGTAGCTCCTTATACCTTTCTGTCCCTTTTGTCCAAGATAAAAGCTTCTTAATAACATCTGGGAGTGGTGAGACATGTCTCTAATTCCAGCACTTGGGAGCCTGAGGCAGAAAGATCACAAATTTGAGGCCAGCCTGGACTACCTAGTGAGTTCAAGGCCAGCCTGAACTCCATAGTGAGACATTGTCCCAAAAACAACAACAACAACAAATATTTAATAACAAAATAATAGTAAAAACCGGTGTCTGAAGTCAAGCCTTAGGAGATAAGCAGACTTAAAGTCAGGGACAGCAACTGCTCACAGACCCTGGGGCCACACCTTTCAGACTAGGCAGGCCTGCTCCTGCTGAGGATGGATCTCCACTGACTAGGGGCTACCCTCCAAAGCCACATGTCCAGAAGTTCAAGGCAGGAGCAGTGTACGTGTCTCTTGGGAGATAAGCAGCATTCATAAACATCTTGGACACAATTTAAAAAATGTGGAGCCAAAAGCTGCCACCAACAATGAGCCCTGGTGCCAGGAGCCCAGAGGTGAGTACAGGCAGGGTGCTGTGCCCCCACCCAACATAGGCCACCAGCTCCACCCCTCTGGGCACAACTCATCAGACCACTCACAGCTGAGGAAATGAGAAGGACTTAGCCCACCCAGGGCCTGTTGGCCATAGCCACATAGCAACAAAAGAGTCTAACCACCAATAGTTTTATGACACTGGCTCCCACTAATCACACAAATCCATGTCCCATGGCATGAGGGCATGGACCCCTTGTGTGCAGAGGAGCCATGCTCATGTAGCAGGACAAGCAGACCTCTCTGCCCAGACTCTCCCATGGGTGCCAGCTTACATTGCCATAGCAGTCCTCGTCATCCTCTGACATGGCTGGCAAGTAAGCTGTGAGCTTTGGGGGTGTCTGCTGGTGCAGATTCTTCCATGTGATGGATTCAAAGAATGGATGAGCCTTGAGAGGTTCGTACCCTTTCATCTCTTCGCAGCCTAACCGCTTTGTGGCATCCAAAACCTTAAGTGATAATGAAAACAAGTTACTGTCAGAGTTAAAATGTAATTCTGGGGCCGGGGATTTAGCTCAGTGGTTTCAGTGTCTGCTGCGCAGGCACAGGAACCACTGAGCTAAATCTCCGGCCCAAAAGAGATGTTTTTTAACAAAATTCTTTTCCATTCTTAGTACCTCCTGGAGGCCCACCCCAGGACTGCTTTTCCTGCCATGGGGCAACCCAGGCTGCTCCGGGTTTTTGCCTCAGCCTGAGGCCCTGGACCCTGACTCCTGCAGGTGAAAATAAATCTGATACCAACTTCTTCAAAATATAGCAAGCAACAACTATCCTTTAAAAATATGTAGCCATATGGTGAGCCAGCCCAAACTACAAAGCAAAATCCTGTCTCATCAGGGTTTCAACAAAACAAAAAATAAATAAAATATGTACTTAAAAATCCTAAAACAACCTAGTCACAGTAGTACATGCCTGTAATACCAGTTACTCAGAAGGCAAGAGGATCATGAGTTCCAAGCCAGCTTGGGCAACTTGGCAAGACACTGTCAAAATAACCAAAAAGGGATGGAGATGAAGCTTGGTGGTAGAGTGCTTGCCTAGCATGCACAAGGCTGTAGGTTCAATTCCTGGTATTACAAAAAAAGAAAGGAGGGCAAGACGGTAGGAGGGTCCTAAAACTAGAGGAAAAAAAAAATCAAAGAAGAACTGACTGGCTCTAATAACAAAGAGAACAAAAATCCTGGACAGCAAGATCTCACAGGCACCCCATGTCTTTCAAAAGGCAGCAGCACCATTTCTTCCTGGAGACAGAAAAAAAGCAGACCTGGAAGGCCTGTGTCCACCAGGCACACAGGGGAGCAAGTCCAACTCCCACTAAGGGGAGCTAAGAAATAGTCAGAAATGGGTGGGAAGGTGATCCCGGAGCTTGAACTAACTCTGCTCCCAAGAACTGAGTTAAGGAGGGCAACCAGAGTCCAAAGAAACCAGGGCCAGGACACTTCAGTTTCTGGAATATAAACTTTCCCAGGTGAATCTGTTTTTCATTACCTGCTTTGATCTTTAAAGTCTTCATATAGCTTACTATAAAGTTGACATCAACAGACATCACTGAAGTAGCATTTAAGCCATCTGCCACCATAACAAACCCAGTTGCTCCAGCAGCAGTAAGTGAAAGGGCTCTGCCATGTTGATGAACACATGCAAAATGATACAGTAATTTCCTGTCTTATTAAAGTCAAGAACCAGGCACTTGAAAAGTGAAAGGAATTATAATGAGATGAGATACAAGACGTGACTCTATCTACAATCTCTGTCAATCCTGAACATACCTGTCCTTCAACACAGCAGCCTCCCAGAAGCTCCTTCAGGCAGAGGGTTAGAGAATGCAGTGTGTGACTGAGGTCCCCTCAACAGAGAAAATTCAAAATGCTTACCAAGAGTTTTTCTACGAGGTCTCTTGCCTTAGGGAAGAATTTTTCTGGGAAGTCATATTCCAACTTAATGATCTTCTGAAATATAAGATACTCATTTCTATGAATTAAAAAAAAAAGCAGTCATTCAGGGAGGATCCTTCAAACCTCCAGTACCAGATACAGCCTTCCCAGGATAACCCAGCATTGCCCTTGCCACCCACAAGCCACCATGCCCTGTGCACTTGAGAGCCACAGGGAAAGTTCCTCCTTAGCCCACCCCTTCTTCCAGAAGGAGGTGTGCTGCGATAGGCTCAATCCCTTCTTACCCGGCTCGGAATGGTGGGAGTCCTGCCACAAGCTGGTATATTATACATCCAAGAGCCCAAAGGTCTGAACTTTAAGGTAGGGAAAAAAATAAAGAAAAATGGCATTGGTACAATTCAAGTGACAAACACAATTCATTTTCTACTCTGTGCCACCACCCCCAATGTATTCCTGTTCCTTAGGACCAGACAGGTGTGAAGTTTGAACCTTCCTTTCTGGGGAAATGCCACTGAAATCTGGGCTCAGAGACTCCTGCACATGATAGGCACCACCAGTCAGCCTTTAGCTGGGCCTCTTGCACTATGGGTTAACAACTTCCATACATGCACAGTCCTATCCTAAAGGGAAAGCAGAGTTCACTGCCCACCAAAGAGCAACACTGGGACAGCTGGCCCCATCTCCACAGGGTGGTACAGTTGAAACTAACCCAGATTCTTTCCTGACCAGCTTGTGCTCACCCCAGGACAGGTGTGTACACACACATGCCTCAGGGCAGAGAACCATCAACCATCCATAAAATGTGCACAAAGGAGGCTTTGCCCTTCCCCTCTTGGACTCAGCTATGAAAAGTATTGCCCATCCTTTATAAACATTTGGCTTATCCATTTTAAAAAGAAATCAATTCAGTTCTAAATGTTTCTAAATCATTTCCATAATGTCGCTAGATGTTCTGAGTCCCCAGCTGTCAAGGACCCTGAGGTTGCCAAACTCTCACCTGCAGGCAAGATACTCTCCCACATATCCAGCTCTCCCACTCACCCTCAGCATGCTGAGATGGCTTTACAGGCATTATCCCCTCAGAGTCCTGCTTTCCATTTCCCTAAACACTGAGGTCACAGGGCCCTGACAGTAACCTGGCACTCTGGATGATGCCACTGCAGACCGTGGGTAAAAACCACTACTCAAGACGAGACATCAGCTGCAGTGCCAGGCCTTGGGGAAAGGCTTTGTCCTGGCCCTGGCATCCACAGAACCCACAAGCTAATGCACAGGTGAAGTACTTGGGGTGAGTTTAAAAATACAACAGGTTAAAAACCTGAGTCACAACAGAATGAAGGTTACCTAAACAAATGAATTTACATTCAACTCAGTAACTAGTTTTTACATTTGGCTTTATTTAGTGTTTAGTGTTTATTTAGTGTAAGTTAAAGTATGGAGCACAGCAAAAAAAAAAAAAAAACAGGCTGCAAAGCACCCTTCCTCCCCAGTGCAGAAGCTGCAAAGAGGGTAGGGCACAGCGGAGCTGCACCTGCCACTTTGCAGAGTCCCTTCCACAACATAAGAGTACGAACGCTCTGGGAAACAGGCATGGGGATACACACCTGTAATTCCAGCACTTGTGAGGCTGAGTGAGGAACATTGCAAGTTTGAGGCCAGTACAGACCATATAGTGAGTTCAAGACCAGCCTTAGCTACAAAGCAAGGATCTGACCTCCAAAAAAACAAATAAAGTAAGGGCTCTGGGTTAGCTTCTACCACTATAAAGTATCTCAGAGTTTCATTAAGTGTGAATTTAGGATTTTAAATGTTTTGTTAACTCAATGATAATAAACAGGGAAGCCCTATAATGGTTCTAGAAAGTATAATATACCAAGAATTTCATAAATGCTCAGTTAGATCAAGTCATGCCACTTCCTGAAACTCACATGGAGGAATTCAGGACAACCCCATCTCTCCCACCTGTAGGACGATGTTGCAACCCCAAGGGAAAGCACCTGTGCCTTCCTCTTACCCTACACCAGCACCATCTCAAACTCATGAGACAGAAAAATCACACAATTAGTAAAGATGTCTACACATAATTTTAATGACAAAGAAAATTGTTCATCACAGAATCACAAAGAGCAGGATGCATACTGGCTAACACTCAACTTATATGAAAACTACATAAAATACACAGAACAACTGGAAAGATAAGACTTATTTTCTAAGAATTCTTTACAATGAATAGGCATTCCTTTTAAAATTAAAAAGAAAAAAAACAGATGTTTTGGTACACATCTGTATTAACAGCATTCTGGGAGGCTGAGGAAGGAGGATCGCACCTCTGAGACCAGCCTGAGTAACACCTTAGCAACTGAGCAAGACCCTGCCTTGAAACAAAAAATAAAAAGAGGGCTGGGGATGTAGCTCAATGTGAAGATCTTGGGTGGGTTCAATCTCCATATCACTAACCCCCCCAAAAAAAAAATCAGAAAAAACTTAATTATAATAATGCATATCATAAGATTAAGTTTTAAGGCTGGGGATTTAGCTCAGTGGTTCTGCCGCTTGCCTTGCAAGCGCAAGGACCTGAGTTCGATCCCCAGTACCAAAAGAAAAGAAAAGAAAAAAGATTAAGTTTTAAAAGTAAAAATAATGCAGCAATGAATGCATCCCTCCCAACCCAGCTTCCAGCCCCTAGAGACAACCACTTTTGTCTGTTTCTTGCATATCCTCCTACAGAACATGAACCACCCACAAAGAACATCCATGTATGTCCCTCCTCCACACAGAAGCTAGCTTATGAGCCTGACCCCTTATAGCCTGGAGATCTCTGTAAGTGCAGACAAGCTCAGCACCTGGGGAGGAACCAAGAGCAAGGAAAGCTGACTCTTGGATTAAGTGCTAGATCTGGAAAACCAGGAGACTTTACCCACTACCTCACACTGCAGACATTGACAAATGCATCCTCCTCTGTCCCATAGGATGCTGAGCAGCATCCCTGGCCTCCAGCCACTGTGGGCTAATAGCACCTTCACCCCAACTGTGACAACCAAAACTGTCTCTAGACATGGTTAAGTGTCCTCAGAGGCAGAATTGCTTGTGCTGGGCAACTCTTGACATGGAGCAGTTCTGATCCATAGGAAGAAGTCAAATTCTAATGACTGAATAAGATTTAAGAGAGGGGGCCTGATAACCACTGAGATGCCCAAGTTTAATTTTTCAGAGCATCCTTCCATACTGCTATCAAGCTTGTGCCCATAGTTCAACCCCTACCTGGAGTTTTCAAAGCTGTCAACCTCAGAAACAGAGTTGCTTAGCTGGGTGTGGTGGCACCCACTTGTAAAACCAGCATTTGGAAGGCTGAGGCAGGAGGATTGGTACAAGTTTGAGGCCAGCCTGGACTATACAGTGAAGACTTTGACTCCAAAAAAGAAGAAAGAAAAAAAGAAAGCTGCCTAAGTAGAATCACTCACTCACTCAGGGCAGCTAAGCAGGACAGAGGGACGGTCTTCATAAGGGGGTGCCACAAGGCCAAGTGGCGGGCCAAACCAAGTACTTAGAAGAGTTTCACAGGCTAGGATGGGAAGAAGCATCCACTCCACAGACCTTGTCGCCTAGAAATGCTCCTCAAACCTAGAACACAGATTCTAATGCCACCTCAAAGTCTCCCAGGACAGCACCTTCAACTCTTCCCTGCTGTGGGCCATCAGCTCCCTGGCCTCCTGTCTTCTGCTGCCCAGCTCATCTGTGGACTGATCCTTCCCCACTCTGCAACCTATGAACTTGCACACAGAACACACCCCTGGACCAGTGCCAGCCCCTATATCCCTCACATTGTACTTCTAATATTCAGGACTGAGTCTACCACCAAGGCCCAGTTGCATTTCTCCAATACTCTTGGCATTCCTGGTGCTGTCTGAGGACTGGCTGCCCCCTGAAGGAAACCCTCTCTGCTCACTCATCCCTTTCAGGCCTTTGCCCATCCCTCCAAGGCCTCTGCCCACCCCTGCAGAAGCTGTGGCACTGGACAATTAACCCTGAAGCACAGCAGTCACACTTTCCCCACTGAATAGATTTCCTTAAGGAAAACAGTCAAATCTCTAATCAAAAAACAACTGTCAACTCAGAAGTATAAAATATCATGATAAAGTAGCATACATGGGTGGTAAAGGAAAGACATAGATTAAAAAGCAAAAAATAGGGCCGGGGATTTAGCTCAGTGGTTTCGCCGCCTGCTATGCAGCTCAAGGACCGTAGTTCGATCCCTCGTACCAAAAAAAAAAAAAGCAAAAAATAGCCACTATGGCACATACCGGTAATTCTACCTGCTCAGGAGACTAAGGCAGGGGGATCACAAGTTTGAGGCCAGCCTGAGCAATTCAATGAGACACAGTCTCAAAAACTAAAATCAGCTAGGGGAAGGGAGGTAGGAAGGTTCAGTGGTACAGGGCCTCTGCATTCAATCCCTAATACCACAAACACAAAAGCAAACTGTTAACTTCTTTCAAAGTATGTTTGGATATTTACAATTCCAGGAAATTTTAACCATTTATCTTTGACAAAGAGGTCAAAAACATATGCTGAGGAAAGAAGATATCTTAAGAAATGGTGCTGGGAAAACTGGCTACCCATATGCAGAAGATTAAATCTACACCCATATCTCTCTCTCTTACCCTGTACTAAACTAAAATCAAAATGATCAAAAATGAAAATATTAAAACAGCAACACAATCTGTGGGAAGATAAAATAGGTAGACTCTTGAAGACATAGGCACAGACAAGGACTTTCTGAACAGAACCCCAAATGCACAAGAAATAGCACCAAGAATCAATAAATGGTATCATATCAAATTAGAAAGTTTCTGCACAGCAAAGGAGACAGCCTACAGAATGAGAAAAAAAAGGCCAGCTATTCCTTAGAGCACTAATATCTCAAATACATAAAGAACTAAAAAAAAAAAATTAGACCCCTCCCAAAACAGACTCAATCAAACGGCGGGCAACTGAAATGAATAGACACTTCTCAGAAGAAGTACAAATGCTCAATAAATACATGAAAAAATGTTCAACATCTCTGGCCATTAGAGACATGCAAATTAAAACAACACTGAGATTCCACCTTATTCCAGAAAGAACAGCTATCATCAAGAAATCAAATAATAACAGGCTGGCAAGGCTGCAGGGAAAAGGGATCCCTTCTGCATTGTTGGTGGGAATATAAACTAGCACAACCACTATGGAAATCAGCACAGAGATTCCTCAAAATACTAAACGTAGAAATTCCATTTAACCCAGCTATTGCCCTTCTAGTTATCTTCCCAAAAGAGTTAAAGACATTACATTACAGTGATTTTATGCATACCATGTTTATAGCAGCTCAACTCATAATAGTTAAATCTTGGAAGCAGCCTCTATGTCCATCAACAAATGAATGGATAAAGAAAATGTGGCATTTATACACAGTGGAGTAGTAGTACATTGCCATAAAGATGGATAAACTTGAGTCATACTTTGTAGGAAAATGGATGCAAGCTGAGACCATAATGTTAAGTGAAATAAATCAGACACACAAGCTGAAGTATCACACGATTTTTCTTATATGAGAAACCCTAAGCATAAATAAGAACAAAATTAAAAAAAGATAGTTAATACAAAACAGGGCGATAGATCTTTTGCAAAAGGGAAGGGGGTCGAGAGATGGAGGGGGCAGAAGAGAAGAGGATAAAAAAAAGATGTGTTATGTACATGAATCAACTCCACACTAGGAATGTAGTCATTATGTACTGTAAACATGTACCAATAAAAATAAAAAGTAAAAGTAAATAAAGTATGTTTGTATAAAGGTCACCAAAGGTTCTCTGTCAAATATTACTTCCTCATGAAGAAATCTAGCAGCTACTCCAGAGAGAGGAAAAGCATGATTGGATAAAAGCAGGTTACCTCTTACAGGCCGACTTCTCTGTGAGCAGCTCTGGAGAAACATACTGTGCTGTTCCTACGAATGAGTTGGCCCTGGCTGAGGAAAGGAGAAAAAGAAAAAGTCACATTTGGAGACACAATCTTTTGCCCTCCATCAAACCTGCCCTGTTGGTGCATTTCTCAGGGGTCGAGGTCTAACATGGGTGACAGGAGTTGGTAGGCAGCTCAGTGCTGTTACCCACTGCAGACTAAGTGCTTCCAGCAGCCGGCAAGCCCAATGTCCCACCCAAGGGGACTTGCTGGACCCTGACACTGTACTCTCCTCCCTGGTACCTTTAACCTGATGCCTGTCACATTCTCCCATCATCCAGTCACTAGAGCAGGGCAGCATGAGGACAGGTCTGTGTTGTACTCACTACTGAATCTGTGGCACCTAAACACATGGGACACATGGCACCCACAACAAACAGCAGTGGGCCAGGCATCACCCTCTTCTCAATCACCAACAGCTTGGTTGTTTGGGGCCACAATCACAGGAAGATTCAGCTTCCAGCCCTCAAGGTCCAGCCTATGTGACACTCAGACGAGTAGGCTGCAGGGTTGGCATGCAGACTCTCCAGACCCATTCTTCAATGGAGACACTTGATTGCCCCAGGGCCCAAGGACAGAGGGGATTCATCAGCTGTGGTATGGCAGACAGAGAAGTACAACAGCTGGCCCAGCTCCCTCTGCTCCAGGGACTGGCAGGGCCAGGGTCCTTCACTGCAAATGCCACCACCTACCCCACCTGCAGGCTGGCTGTAAGCCTTCCCACCTGGCTCCTCCAGCAAGATAGGAAAAGCCCACACCCCTGCTGCAGGGACCCAACCAAGTTGGTCCCTCAGTCCTGTAAATGGTCCCCTCAGTACAGTTTTCTGTGAAGACTTCATGGTGCATTTGTGTCCTGCCAGGACCCTGAAAAATACTGCCAAGACACTGGGGAGACTACCGAGTGGAAAGAAAACGAAACCAAGAGCTAATAACCTGTAAGACCACTCAACTATCTCATGAACCAAAGAGAAATGAATTAAAACAAAATAGCTTATCCAATAGGCAAAAAGAAAAGCAATAAAATACATGACATTGGCAAGGATCTGAGGGATATGCAGGACTGCTGCAGGGCAACTTTCAGAGTACCATTACCCAATACCCATTGTAAGTTTTAAGCTGGGCCATGAATATACATAGCTCAGTGACAGAGGACTCACCCAGCATGCATGAAGCCCTGGGTTCCACCCCCAACACTGTTAGGGGAAATAAAGTCATAAGGAACAGGCCTATAATAAAAACCGCAGCTAGGGGCTGGGGATTTAACTCAGTGGTGCCCCTGTCTGCCTCACAAGCACAAGATCCCGAGTTTTATCCCTGGTACCAAAAAAAAAAAAAAAAAAACCACAAAGCTAGTACCGTGAAGATGGAAAGAGCTGTACTGTGTGGTAGGAGGACAAGCACCTCAGCATGCTAACCTCATTTTTGTAATACAGGAAAATCCATTCTACTGGGAGCTTTTTTTCTACCCTTTTTTTTTGGTACCGGGGATCGAACTTGGGTCCTTGAGCTTTCAAGGCAGGCAGTGGAACCACTGAGCTAAATTCCCAGCCCTACTGGGAGTTTTTTTTGACTTTGCAGTGTTGAGGGAGGACTGAACGGAAGGCCTCATACATGCCAGGCAAAGTACATCCCCAGCCTGCCATTTTGAAGGCAGCCTTCTCTGTCCTGGAGTGGGGGGGTCTTGCCCATGCCAGAATGGTGGCAAGGCGAGGCAGCTGTGAAAGGGTCTCTTGAGTCCATAGAACAGAACGAAGAGAAATGGTAGCTGGACAACCACAGATGGAGGAACAGGGTTACTGCAGTGACTAAAGCCTCCCCCATCCATCCTAGTTGTCCCTCTTGCATCTCCTAAGCCCCTCTTCTATTTGCTGAGCAGAACTTCCACACCTGGCTGAATACCAGAAAGATGTTTCCATGTCTTTCCAGAACACTAGTTTCCAGAACCAAACCTGAAGTCTGAAATTCCAGGACACCTTGGATTCTGCCAAGGCTCTTATGAAGAGGGCCAAGGTCGGAGTACACAAAATCACTTACTCCGAGTGACTAAGTTACTCTCACCAAGACATATGCATGGGACCCCTGGGTAGGGGAAAACTCGTAAGTCCTCTCTGCCAGGAAGTCCTCATCAATATCACGGGCCCTTGATATTTGCCCTGCTCCACTCCCCACCTCCTGCTCTTACAGTCCCAACCCAGATCCACTGGGACAGAGGTCTGTGATGATGAGACATCTCTCTCCTTTTAGGGGGAGCATGTAACATACATGTACCCACTGAAGAGCTAAGGAAACTGGGGGGCTTGTTCCTACTAATACTGCAAGCTTTCAAGATATTTTGGGGAAAGTGTCTCTGTGCAAAATAAAAAGGAGTTAATGAAGGAGTAAGTTCTAAAATTCTGTACTACTTCAAACAAAAGATGAGAAAAAGTTGTTAAAAGTAAGTCATATATGTTTCTCCTTTTTCCTCTAAGAAGAAAAAAAAGCCTCTTTCTTAAAAAAAAAAAAAAAAAGGTTCAGTTCGCTAGTTCATCAGTACACTTTATTTTTGTATATTTTTAAGTGGTTTCAGGACAGTAAGAGTACCCCTGTGCTAAACTTTCAGGTTCTGATGAAAATCTACATGAGGGAAGAAATGTCCAGAATACAGCACAGTGAGTGACTCTGGAGGCTAATTCAAAGGCCACAGCTGAGTCCCAGCCCTGCTGCCCCATGGGACACTGTGGGCTTGTATCAAGTAGGATGAGCTTGCAGGCCAGCCTAGAATCTTCAATCCTCCTACCTCAATTTCCTGAGTGCTGGGAATATAGACATGGTGCACTGGATCTCAAGGTTCCTTTTCAAGGTCACTTAACTCACAAGACAGTTCCCTTTCTAGCCACACAGCACTGTAAGGGCATAATAATCTCTCTATACATGCATTAGAACAGTTTCTAGGAGTTCAGCTGTCCTTCTTTATACCTCCAGAGTGTATGGTTTCCATCCAGTGAGCAGGCTACTAAGACAGCCCTGGCCATGCCAGGGATTTAGCTCAGTGGTTCCACCATCTGCCTCGCAAGTGCAAGGTCCTGAGTTCGATCCCCAGTACCAAAAAAAGACAGCCTTAGCCAATTTCCTGTGGCAAATGGATTCTCAGCTACTCTAGTCCTCCAGAGTAGAGGTATCACAATGCAATTCAAGGCTAGATACTACCCCAAGGGACAGGGCTCAAGAGTCAACAATTACAAAAAGGCACGTGACCAGCACCTAAGTCAGCCCCCACTCCTCCTGTGATGTTTCTAGAACCTCCCTAAAACCAGGGTGCCTGTGCTACAAGCCGTTGTGTACATCACATGGGGACATAGAGAAGTAGATGGATAGGGGCAGGGATTTAGCTCAGTGGTTTCATCGCCTGCTGCACAAGCACAAGAACCCGAGTTCAATCCCCAGTACCAAAAAAAAAAAAAAGAGAGACAGAGAAGTAGATGGGTGGAGGGCCTTGGGGTCCAGGGACATGTTTCCCCAGACACCACCCACAGTATCCAAAGGAGGAGCCAACTGAGTGCCTGGTGCACAATTGGCCATGATTACATTGTACCAAACATTGTGGAGGAGGATGAGATACAGCATGCTCAGGAAGACTGGAGTTCCCCTCAACTACCACACCACACACTGCCTTGAGCCCAGCAGTGGGACCCAGGCAAAGGCACCACAGACCCTGCATTAATGATAAAGTCAACACAATGTAACATATTCCACGAAGCTGTAGTTGATCTTGACCAGGAGTACAGGAACAGCTCTGATGGAATTCAAATTTACACACCTTGTTTGCTCTCTGGGGATAACACTTTTGCTGTTCCAAAATCTGTGATCTGGATGTGCATGTCTTCATTTAACAAAATGTTTTCTGGTTTAAGGTCTCTGTAAAAGCAGATTTTTACATCTGAAATAAAACACTTCAACAGCAGCATTATTACATACTCTATACTTTGAAGAAAATACAATGAAGTGATAAATACTTACCATCTTTACAGGTTAACAGTCAAGAATACAACTCCAAAATCCATACCAAACAAATATCAATTGCTTACAGTAAGGACATTCAAATTATATCATTTCATAGCCGCATCATCATTTTAAAAAACTTTTTGACATAATCTATGCTTTTAACTCATAAAATAAAAAACTTGTGAATATTTCCAATCGGACTTTATCAGAAAGTCATGTGAAATAAGACTAAAACTAAGTATACATAAAAACACTACTGATCAAATAAAAGCACAAGATGAGATCATGTGAGTTGGTGGCTTGGCAGAAAGATACCTGCCCATGCTGATGGGACTTTTGATATACAGGTTCTTCTGACTTCCAACCTCTGCTTAGCTCTCAGCACCCATCACCTGGCACCCATGTCCTACCATCTATAAAGTACCCCAGTGCTGGCCCCAGAAGGCTGGGGTGGTTTTGGCTTGAAGGTCTAATGGCCACAGGCCCTTGTTCCTACACTAACTGTCCTGCACATCCACCCTGCAGCCTTGGGTTACCTGTGAATGATGCCCTTGCCATGCAGGTACTCAAGAGCAGACACGATCTCGGCTGTGTAAAATCGGGTGCAGGTCTCATCAAATGAACCAATTTTGCGGATGTATTTAAGTAATTCCCCATTTTTGGCATAGCTAAGGCCAAAGTCTGAATACAGTATAGTTAAGGAAGAATGGAAAAAGTCTTTTTTTTAAACTAACCTTAATACCTCAGTAAGAACCCCACCAACAACAACTCCAGTACTGAGGATCAAACCAAGGAGAACTCTATCACTGAGCTATATCCCCAGCTCTTCTTATTTTAAGAGAGGGTCTCACTAAGTTCCCCAGGCTGGTCTCAAACTTAGGATCCTTCCTGTCTCAGCCTCCAAAGTAGCTGAAACTATGGGGATGTGACACCATGCTCAAAAGAACCTTTTATTAAATGCAAACTGAAGGTACCTATGACCCGACAGTCACCCTTTTTAAAGTCAGATTCAGCCCTGGCTTCGAGATCAGGCATAGGGTTTTTCACTAATAACATAATATCATCATCCCTTTCACCCTGGACTGTATTTCTAGACATATGGTCCCCAGAGGCCTCTGTCACCTGTGAGAAGGAACTGCCAGAAGTGACTGCTGGGTTTGCAGCCTCTGGCCAAGGCACAGACAACATGTGTGAGACTTCAAGTGCAGAGAAGAGATCTGGAAGAGGGGTTTTAACTACAAACCTTGCTTGAGCTTCCTGCCCTCCACACACTGCTGACATCCATGCATGTGGCTGTTCCTTCCATTGCACAGAGAAGAGCCATTTTATTAGCTTCTTGATTCATCTGATCTATCTGTGAGGTGCCCACTGGGGAGAGAGACAGGAGGGACAGCCAGCTTCCCTATGGACCTCTCACTGCAATGTGTTCCATTTGTATTCTCCTCCTTCTGATGGGACTGAAAGCTGATAAGAAACAGCTCCCATATAACTGTTTCCCCTGAAAGCACCAAATGCTTGTGCCTCCTTTTTGTTTGTTTTGTTTTGTTTTTTTGATATAGGGTCTCACTTTGGGCTGGCCTTGAACTCACTACGTAGCCCAGGGTGGCCTTGAACTTGCAGCAATCCTCCTATCTCAGCCTCTCAAGTGCTAGGATTACAGGCATGTGCCACCATGCTTGGTTCAATGTGACTCTTATCTTACTAGAAATCCCCAGGTACTTCACCTGTAAGATGATGCCAGGACACCACCCTGAGAAGCAGCTCTGGAGGCCACAAAAAGTGTTTTGTGTACAGGGTGCCTGGCTGGCCTTCTATCTGCCAAGGCACTGTCATCTTCTACCAAGGAAGGAGAATGAGACTCCAGGGCTCCAAGACAAAGCCAATAGGGAAGGGACCACAGCCAAAGCTATCCAAAGCTACCCCTGTCCAGGGTATCTCTGACTACCACACATCCTAACTTGGACAATGCTTGACAGAAGCTTAAAATTAAAAGCCCCCTTTACTTTGGGGAATGCACTTCACCTCATCTTACCCACTCCCTCACAAAAAAAGGCTGTTCCCATGGAGTTACTAGCTGTGACAAACAGGCTGGCTGCAGGGCCTTGCCTGTTAGGAGCCCAAGGTACAAGGCTCAGACTTGGTCACAGTTGGAGGCAGCAGCTTCTTGCTTCTTCTGGCTTCAAGATTTCACCCTTTATTTGATCTCTCAGTTGTTCTTGGTTCCTGCATAGTTCACCTGCATAGTACATCTGTGCTCAGCAGTAGGGCAGAGGTGATCGACAGGTCTTGAACAGAGTGGTTGCCCAGGATTACTGCTCAGTCACATACCTGCTTCATGAAGTTTGCTCCTTCAGAACTCATTGGTCCACTGCATATCCTGAGAGTGTTCTCCACCCCCTTGCCCACAGCCTGTGCTCCAGGACAGTAAGGGGGAGGTAGAAGCTGTCCTCCCTCGCAGATCAGGCCTGTGAACAGAGCCAGGAAGCCTGACAAGCCCAATCCCTGCAATTTGTAGAAGAGGCACACAGCACAGAAATTAAGCATCTGACTCAAGGTCACAAAGCAAAGGAAGGACAGGATCCGAGTCTAGCCCTCAAGCAGTATTTTTAACTCCATGTTGCACACAGAATACCACGAAGCTAAGCAGATATAGATCAGCCTTGGTAGGAGCTGGAGAAAGATGGCCAGCCAGAAAGCAACATCATCTGAGCCCTCTTTGCCTCTCTTCCCCACTGGAAATTACAGCTAAATGGATGTAAATGGCTAAATGGCAAAGAGTGTCATTTTCTTTTCTTTCTCAACATAATACACAGGAGCTACTTGTGGTGGCACATGCCTGTGATCCCAGCACTTGGGAGACTGAGGCAGGGGGATCATCATGAGTTCGAGGCCAGCCTGGGCTACATAGTAAGTTCAAGGCCAGCCTGGATTACATAGCAAAGGCCCTGTATTTAAGAAAAAAAAAAAACACCAAGGATTCCAAATAGGGCAGAAGTCCCTTGGGTTTCATTCTTGTGGGTCTTAGTGAGCCCTCATAACCTTCTAGGGCTTTGGAATTTGTCATTTTATTTTTGTGGTAATGCTGAGAACTGAATAAAATTTGTCTTGATAATCACTAGAGAAAGACCTAGAGTACTCTCCACCTTCACTGCTTAGATCAGTCTCACCTGGAAGTCAAACACCAAGTGCACTCTCACATGGACTTTGGGCCCTGATCCCACAGCTGTGAACCTGGGAAAAGATGAAGTCAAGTGTGTGTTCATAGTTTGGAAATGGTTCTGGTGTCCCTCAAGGGTGCATGTGACTGGAGGCCTGGTCCCCAGTAAGGCAGTACTGGAAGGTTGTGGAACCTTTAATAGGTGGGGCCTGGTGGGATGTCCTTAGGTCACTGGACAGGAGGCAGTTCTCCTGCACATCTTGGTGGTTCTTGAGAAGGTTGTTATAAAAAGAGTAAGCCCTACCCCACCCACTCCCTCTGCTTCCAGAGATGTGATCCTTCCTCTGCACAACTTTTCTTTCTTTTTTTTTTTTTGTACGGGGGATCGAACTTGGGACCTTGCACTTTCAAGGCAGGTGGAGGAACCACTGAGCTAAATCCCCAGTCCTCTTCTGCACAACCTTGCTATCTGCCACCTGCCACAGGGCCACTGCCTGCACCATGCCATCTGGACTTTCAGTCTCAGAACTGTGAGTTGAACAGGCTTCTTTTCTTATAAAGCTGGCTGTGTCAGGCATTTTATGGTAGTTACACAAAGATACTCAGGAAAGAGGTTCACAGTTAACAAGAAGCAGCATCCTGAGTGCCCACAAGGAGCTCCAGTCCAGACCTCTGGATGTCTGGCAGAGACTTCCATGGACTCAAAGAGGAGCACGGTCACATGGGATCTAGGGGCCACAAAGGAGGGATCAAGACAGCCCCAGGGTTACAGAGATACAAAACAGAACATAAAAGGCCACTGATGGCTGCTGCATGAGCAGTCCTAGCAGAGGTGGGGACCAGAAGCGATACTGGAAGACAGCAGGCTCAATCTAGATGCCAAGATTCCATAAGACCTAAAACAAACCACCAACAAAGGCCACCTGCTCCTCTCTAAAAAGACTACTGGGAAAAATCTCTGGGTGTGCCTCCCATCACATCTATCTTTCTGTCCTGAACCTTGTCCCTGAGAAACTGCCTGTCCTGTCAACAACTTGCATGGGGACAAATCCTCTGCTCAGGCCCAGGCATTTGATCTCTGAGTCACATCTGACTAGGCAACTGGCAACCCACTATATGAATAAAACTGACCTATAGCCTCTAGGTCTCCATGCCCCTCACTCTCCAGCAACACCTCGTCAGTCTCCTCCTCCCCTGGGTGGCCAAGACTGACGACACTGTATCTGCGTGTCACCCTTCAAGGTTCTGTGGGCAGCCACCCAATGGCTTACTCAGCCTCCAAACAGTGAGCACGTATGTCAAACGTGTCAAACGACAACCCAGTAACCCCCAGCCCAGCTACTGTCCAGCCACTCTCAGCTCAATAACATACTCCACTGTATGCTAGGCTCTGAGGGCCAATTCCAGGAGCTGCCTAACTCTGCTCTCTCAACATCATCAGTCAGAGAACTAGCCCAGTTCTACCTTGGGGCTGCCCATTCCTCAAGCTCACATGCTTGAGCTGTGTGTCCATGAACTCAAAGAGCCCCTCAGACCTGCACATGGCCTTAACTACTCTTGCTAGCTTGCCCTACTATTTGGTCTTAATATTCGGTGCTAATACACCCTCAACCATGTAAGCCCATTAGGGCAAAGCCTTCTCCTTGCTTTCCAACATATTCCCATTTCCCTGGGAATGAGACAAAAAGCACTTCTAAATGAATAAAAGAAAAATTCGACTTCCAGGGGGCTTTGAGGAAGTAATCCAGGCTCACCATGGTGGCTTGAAGAGGGAAATGGGGGACAAATCCAGCTAGCAGTCGGAGGAGTCAAAAGACAGTGCTAAAAGTAGAAACAGACTGGGTAGGAGGGCCTACACCTATAATTAATCCCAGCACTTCAGGAGGCTGGGGCAGGTAGGTTGCAAATTCAAACCCCACCTGGGCAATTTAAGACAATTCAACAACTTAACAAGACCTTGTCTCAAAACTTTAAAAAAGCATAAAAAGAGGATGAAACACAAGGCAAAAAGCCCCGGGTTCAACTGCAAGTAACACATACACACACACACACACACACACACACACACACAATGGGAGCAGGGGGCTGGGGGTGCTGCTCAGTAATTGGGCACATACTTAGCATGTACAAAGTCCTCAGTTCAATTTCCAGCACTGCAAAAAGTAAAAATTTTAAGAAAGACCAGGCATAGAGACAAATGTCTGTAATCCCAGCACTGAGGAAAAATAAGGCAGAAAAACTGTGGGTTCAAGCCCCACCTAGGGAACTTAGCAAGACTCTGTCTCAAAATTAAAAATAAATAAAGGCTAGGAATGTAGCTGAGTGGTACAGTAGCCTGGAGTTTGATGTCCAGTATCACAAAAAATTACATTTTTTTAAAAACTGGGAACAGAACAAAGTTTTAATACAAAAGAATCAGTGTGAAGCAGCAGGAGGCAAACAAGCCTTCAGATACTTGGACTAGCCTTGAGGGCAATGAAGAGAAGAGAGGGGAGAGAGAAAGCTCCCCTGATGGGAAGAGCAGCCACTGGGAACAAAGCCCACCCACCTGCCTGGCCCAGAGGTGAACTGGTGCCCCCAAAGGTGTAGCCTGGACATCATCCACAGGCCTGACTCCCTGATTCCTAAGCAATGGTTCAAGAGAAGACTATTTTCACAGAGATTAGAGGAGAAAGAGCTACGGACAAAACGAAGACATAGTAGAAGGCAAACCTACTGGAGAAGCAGTTGAGAAATTCCTAGAGAGCAAGAGGTGCTAAGCAAGCCCACAGCAGGAGTACTGCATCCAGTGTGAGGAAGGTTCAGGCTCTCATGGGCTTGCTCTCTGACTTATCAAATGTCCAGGGAGATGTCCCTTCCAACCCTATATGAAGGCCCAAAGAGGGCAGAGAAGAGCCTACTCTAGGAGTCTGAGAATGCCCAAGATCATTCTTGCTCTACTGGTCCCTGGTTCATTTGAGCACAGGATTCAATACCTAGCAGATACTCCAAAGACGCTGGTTAGAAAAATGAAGAAATGCCTTTGCATTAATCTTCAGCGACCACGGTTAAAACAACAACAGTTCATTAGGTTCGGTGTTTATCAATAAAAACCTCAAAAGTGTGGGACAGCTTCCCATTCAGAGAAGGACACAGCAGTCAGCCAAACCTCAGCCAATCTTTGGTGCTGCCTCGAGGAATACCAGCCACTCAGAAGTCAAGAGCAGCAGGGTAGGATCCATATCATATCCTTTCCTTCCATGGGAAGATTACTCGTGAGAACAAAAAATGGGATGTCATGATTCCAAAGCAAGAGGAGTGACTAAAGTGATTTCAAATGGCACTGACCACACAAAGGATACACAGCTTTTCATCATCCTGAAATGTGAAGTAAAGCTTAATGAAGAAGGGGTGATCCAGTCGTGACATCACATCTCGCTCTCTGGTTACATACGGGACCTTGTTTTCTTTTATAATATGACGTTTCTCCAAAATTTTAACTTAAGGTAAGAGAGAAATGAGTTACTACAACTGAAAAGGTGAAAAATAATAAAAACACATTTTATAAACATACTAGCACAAATTAGTTTTTCTAAAATCACCCATACCAGCTTCATGATTCTAAGACATAGACCCTAAAATCAGCACAGAAACCTCCAGGTCCTGCCAAAAGGCTGTCACGTTCATGAGGGCTGCCCTATCTCCAAGTTCCAGACACACGGCTCACTGGAGCAAGTACTTACTAGCATATTCTCGAGAGGTGGCTAGTTCTCGGGCCAGGACAACCTGGTTTGGGAAGAAAAGGGGAAAAGAAAAGGAAAAAAAAACACACTGTAATAACCAGGAGACAGAGTCTGACCGATCACTGCCAAAGGCTTCCCCATCCCACTCAAGGTTTGAAATCACATTTAAATATTTAGGCTCCTGTACTAACAAAGAGCAGAACACCACTGCTCATGTTAAGGAATCCAATTTTCAACAGCAAACATAAATCTCTCTACTGTTTCCAAAAGGTCTGTGATCAGCTGCCAGTAATCTTTAAAGTACAGTAAAAATATAAATTGAAGAACCTCAGAGAGTAACACGTTCAAGTGCTGCTGCAAATGGCCACTAGGAATTTTTTCAAAACATAACTTCAAGGATATGTCCTTTTAGTATATATCCACAGCAAAAAGCTGTGCTGAACATAGGTTTTTCAAATGATTTGCTACCATACATTTCATTTGATGACCTAAATACAATCACGGCTACAAATGGCACAGGGATTAAACCAGTGAGCCATCTTCCCAGGACACACCCATGTGGCCCCAACCTTGTCCTCTCAAAGCCCACCTGAGCCTTTGCTCAGACTCCACTTCAGAGACAGAGCACCCATTCAGCATCTTCAATATGGAAAAGATGACTCTGCACTAGCAAACCCTGGGCATACGTGAGGAACCAAAGTGAAAAGAGCTTTGGCATCAAAGTCTAACAAGCACATGCAGGGGTTGCTTTGCCATGGAAGAGCTCCCCACTGTCTGTATGTGCAAATGTGTCTCCTAAGACATCTACAGAGGGATAGCCTGAAGACCAGAGAGCAGATGAAACCTGTCCCTATGATATACTTGCACAAAGGCCTTCAGGAGGTCACAGAGCCAGGTCCTCCTAGCCCCTGGTTATGTGTGTCACATCCTGTGACAGAATTCTTGAGATTCACCATTACCACACCCTTCCACCATGCTAGGAATGGAACTCAGGGCCTTTTGCATGTTAGGCAAGCACTCCAACACTGAGCTATACCCTTAGCCCTGTGACAGTTCTTGAGGGCTCCTCAGACTTGAACCTGAAAAATCACTGTGAGATGCTTGCCTTCATCCGGAATGAGGTGGGGTTATATGTGCTCAGGTGGAAAAACCTTTGAGATTTTTCCAGAGGAACATGGTATGTATGGATGGTTGCCAGGAGCAGGGATGAGGGGAGCAGGCTGGGGCAAGACTTGCCGTTCAGAATTATGCACTTAAGCAACATCACATTCCTTCACATGAGTGTGTGTGCTAGCTTTGTGAGTAGGAAAAGAAGAAAAGAAATTGTTAGAGAACACTACTGTTAAGTAGAATCCTTTCTGAGGAGACATCAGAAAGGCAATCTTTCTATTGTCTAATTTTAGCATTTCATAAGGTTTCCCATGGGGAGTTAAGGGGTCCTCTTCCAGATAATATGTGATGTGTCCCTCCATGTCACCTAGGGTGACAGCAGGGCTACTGGGGAGGGGGGGATCTCTTACTCTCCCACACCAGTGCCAGGCCCTGTCAAGTGAAGATGCTGCTTAATCTCATATCCATACCCATCCCTTATTTCTCTCCTGGAAATCTGATTTAAGTGGGCTCTATTTCAGGAATGGTGAGGAAATTTGGAGGGTAACACCTAATCAAGACCTAGGCAGCAGATTCTAAACAGCCAGGAAAGGAGCCTCTGGCTCTCAGCACTTTCCTAGGTACTACATGGCACAGGACAAGTGTGCCACCCAGAGAAGATGATGCTTACTTTGTAGCCCATAGAGACTTGGGAGTATGGCAGCACCACAAGTACATCCTCATTCTAGTTGAGATAAATGTAAAGAAGCAAAACTGAGAATAAGAGAGAGTTTTCATGGGCTGTCCTAAGTAGCTGTGCACAACACCCAAAGCTCCCAAAACAATTTCCTCTTGGGCCAGGGATGTAGCTCAGTGGTGCTGCGCCTGGCAAGCACAAGGTGCTGAGTTCAATGGGGCGGGGAGGCGGGGGGAGTGTTTAGATATAATGCACAACACAGTTTCTTCTTACTGTAGGGGGCAGTGCGCACCAGAACCACTGGGAACGGTCTTCAGGGCTAAAGGCTTTTGTCATGAGGGCACAGACCTTTTAGAAACAAAACTAACTCATAAATTTGCTAATAGACAGGCATGGTGGTACACATCTGTAATCCCAGCACTTGGGAGGCTGAGCCAGAAGGATTACTATAAATTTGAGGCCAGCTTGGGCCACATAGTGAATTTGAGGCCAGCCTAAACTATATAGCAAGACCTTGTCTCAAAAAACAAACAAATGTATGTTGTTAATTTAAGAAAAAAAAAAAAACTTCAGTTAAAAGTTTAAGGGGGAAAGGCCGGGAATTTAGCTCAGTGGCGCCACACCTGCCTTACAAGTGCAAGGCCCTGAATTCAATTCAGGGTACCAAAAAAAAAAAGTGTAAGGGAAGTCTCTTAGCACTTGGGAGGCTGAGGCAGGAGGATCACCTTGAGTTTGAGGCCAGCCTGGGCTACACAGTGAGTTCAAGGCCAGCCTGAAATACATAGCAAGACCCTGTCTTTAAAAAAAAAAAAAAAAAAAGTAAGAGCAGTAAAAGTTAATATTATTTTTTAAAAGATGCTGGGAATATAGGTGAACTATATATATTCCATGTTCAGAAACTTTCATAAATGTAAAAAATAGAAAAAGAAAATAAATTCCACATGTGGTTTCTTAAGAAAGCCCAGGCAGGAAATACTGGTTATTCAGGAACTCTTCCAGAGTGAGGCATCCACCCCGGAAGTGCCTGTCCAAAACTGGAGACCACACATGGGGCCTCCACAGGAAGGGATCTATCCTTTTGAGAGTATGACCCTGGAGCCAGCAGCTCCTCTGAGATCACAATTTTGCACAGCTACAGCCACAGAGCCTCAGTGGCCCCACCTCAGCAAACGTTTGCTGCTTTCAACCTTCATTTCTTTGCTTTCAGGGCAAAAACATTATAGGATAGGTAAATTTCATGAGTATGATTTGACAGCACCATGACAATGTTTCTGTTTATGAAACTAAGAATAAGGAATTTAGGAGCCTGTATCTCTGGCAAATATCCAGGTATACTACTTCATTTATTAAAACAAAAACCACCAGAGGCATATAAAAAAAGATCATTAAATGTCACCAAGAAAATCTCTGAAGAGCTACTAACACTAACACTGACTTTCAATCTAAAGACAGTAAAGCTTTCCAGGGCATGGACAGGGAAAGAACACAGAAGGCAATCTGTTGATGCCAGGTTAGAATGAAATTAACTTTGTTAAAAAAATAATAATAGGGCTGGGGATTTAGCTCAGTGGTTCCACCGCCTGCCTTGTAAGCAGAAGATCCCGAGTTCGAGTCCTGGTACCAAAAAAATAATAATAACTATAGGCTGGGCACAGGTGCCCATGCCTATAAACCCAACTTGGGATTCTGAGGCAGAAGGATGGCAAGTTCAAAGCAACTTAGTGAGACCATTTCTCAAAAATAAATTTTTAAAAAAGGACTAGGAGTATAGCTCAATGGTAAAACACTTACCTAGCATCTGTGAGGCCCTGAGTTCAATGCCCAGCACCACAAAAAAAAAAAAAAAAAAGGAAACAAAACAAAACAACTCATAAATCAAGAGGTTTTGCTTTTTGTTTTTTTCTTTTTTGGTACTGGGGATAGAACTCAAGACCTCACACTTGCCAGGGAGGCGCTGTGCCACTGAGCTAAATCCCCGGCCCATGTTTTTTGTTTTTTCTGAGATAAGGTCTCACTATGTTCCCCAGATTAGCCTCAAACTGGGCTTAAGTGATCCTCCCACCTCAGCCTTTAAGTCCTAGGAATATTAGGTGACTACTACCATGTCCAGCAAGAGATGCTTTTTAAAGTTTTCATAAACAAAATCACATGGTCTCCTTGGGAAGCCCAGCCCCAAAACCTCCAGCAACCTTCACAGCAAGAGTTGGCCCAGGAGGGATACTACCTCCTGGGAAGAACACTGCCTGGAAGTCAAGTGTCCCAGCTCTAAGCCTCAGGGCAGTCAGGGGAAATAGGCTCGTTTAACAAGCAGTGGCAGCACATACTCACTGTCGAAAAAGAACCCTCGCCAAGAATTTTCCCAAACTTGAAGTCTTCAGGCCGTTTCTTTCGAGGCTGTGGTGGTGGCTGAGCAGCGTGCTGCAGGGGGTTGGCACTTGGCCGGGACTCGGCTGTGGTGCCATCCATGGTGGGGCCCTGCCTGCTGCCACCACTGGGAACACTGGGAGCCGTACCAGACTCGGTCTGTGTCCTCACCATTGATGGGGATGGGCAGGCACATAACACCACGCTGGGCTGGATGGGAACGGTGTCATACTGTGGACACAGAGGACAGAGGTTAAGACAAGGGGCTCTCTGGTCCTGGGCACATGGCTTAAATATAAGCACCTCTTCAGGACACTGCCTATGGCTGGTTACCCCATCTGATTTACTGATGGCTTTAGGGCTGCTGCCCTTCCCTTCTCACATCCAGCTGCTGTCCCACCTCTTCCTCAGCAGTTTCTCACCTCTCCCTCAGCGCTGCATGAGTATCCAATCAACCCCCACAAAGCTAAGCTAAGGAAACTAGAGATAGAATTGTGCATTCTTAGTTATGGAGGGAGCTGAGTAGATAAGAGCAATGATTAAATATGTTTACAATACAGAAATTTCCAGTGCTGACAAGATTATACTAAAGTAAGCACACTCATATAACTGTGCTGGCACCAAAAAACCATTTGGCTGTTAAAATGTTTTTAGAAAGCAATTTGGCAACTGTCAACAAAGCAACTACAAGAACAGTTGTCAATGAGATACAGAAATGTGAAAATGAGGGGAAACACACAGTTAAGAATGGAAGTAGGCAGTGAGAAAGGATCATATAGTGTTTAAAAATAAGTCAGCACGGGCTGGGGATTTAGCTCAGTGGTTCCGCTTCCTGCCTCGCAAGCAGAAGGACCCAAGTTCGATCCCTGGTACCAAAAGGGTGGGGGGGGGGTGTAAATAAATAAATAAATCAGCAATCCATAGAAGGTGGCCTCATACTCATAAAAGCCTCTTCTCTGCCCCCAACATACCCTCACAGTTGTCGACACTGGCATACCTACCGACTGTGACAGAAATCACAAAATGAACTCAAGGCACCCAGCTGCTGGTCTCCAATACTCCTTCCAACTAAAGAACCCAGGAGGACACTTGACTTGGGTCAGTGTGGTCCTGAAACCCACACTACATCTTAAAACCAGTGGCTTCCCCAGCTGTCTCTAAAGGATAAAGGCAGGACAGAGGTCTCTCACCAGGGCTATCACTGACTAAGCTATCCCCTTTCAAACACTAAAACAGACAGATCTCAAAAAAGCCATGCGTCTACAATGACATGTAAAAGTCAATCCATAATGATAATGTAAGAGGCTGAGTAAGACTGAATGCGTAATTTTATTAATTCAAGTAAACAAGGGAGTGTTTTTTCAATTGTCTGCACATTTATAAAAACAGACAAGGACTTTCTCTCTGTGTAAACAGGAAAGGGTACACAAAGAGAACCATGAAGAAGCCAGAGCTCTGGAAAAGTAGTAACTCCCAAACACAGGACTGACAAGTGGGTACCCAGCAGCCAAGAATGAGGCACCAAAGAAAAGGGCTAACAGAGACACTCATCTTGAGATCAAAAAATGAGTAACAAGAACAAATACAAATCTAGACATAACCCCTTGTGACCCAAACATGACGAAAACAGAGGTGGAGAAGGGAGGAAGCAGATGATGAGAACTTGTGGGTGCCTGGGCAGCCCAGCAATGCAGTGTGTGAGCTTTGGTAATCAGGCTCTCACAACTCTCTCTTTGGAGATTACCAAGAATGTTCCGTCTTCAGGGACAATAAAAGTGGGGAAGGGTAATTACTAGGCTCAAAGCCATCAAGAACTGTGATAAGCCAAGATTGTCCTCATAAGACAAGCCAGTCACATTCAAAATGGACTATGTATAGCAGCAGGAGGTGCCTGAATACAGAAAAGGGCCTCAAGGGTGACCCCATGAACAAACTCCCAGGCCGAGAACAGTGGAACAACTGGACATGGCTGACCTTCAGGGACACAAGTGAGGGGGGAAGCTGGAAAAGTCTCACTGCATAGTCCCAGGCACTACAGCATTGTTGGGGATTGACCAGGCCATGCCTGAGGCACCATTATTGTTCCTCAGGCCAGAATGGGGAGAACAGCCCCACCACATCTGATACATACACAGGCATACACGGGCATGTTTGCAGGCCTCGCTTAAGTTCCTCAGTGTACCTAAACTCCTGCCAAGCCAGGGTCAAGAGACAAGGGAAGGGACACTGGCAACAGTGACAAATGACGTCCTGCAAGTCAGGTCCAGCTGCTTCTCCACCAGGTGAAGACAGCCGAGGGGCAAGCCAGCCCTTGATGGAGCATGCAGAGCTAGCAGTCAACCATGGCACACACAGCAAAAGAAGCCTCAATTTAGAGATTCAAGGAAATAGACTGTTTCCTTAATAACTGACAAATGCACTCCTGAGAGAAATCTCAGAAATACATTTTTAAATAACAGAATGTGACAGGATCAGGATCTAGAAAGCCTAGCTGCACCATCATACTTCTTGACCCAACAAATCTAGCAAAGGTGCCAAAAAAGTTGTCACATGGAAGTTCAGTTGTGTTTGTTTTTGTTTCATAGTTCTGGGACCAAACTCAGAGCTTGGAGCATGGTGGGCAAGTGTCCTACCACTGAGCTATACCCCTAGCCTAACATGTAAGTTCTTGGCCCAGGCAGAGTACAACATTGCTTCTTTTTTTTTTTTTTTGATACCAGGGATCAAGCTCAGGACCTTGCACTTGCAAGGTAGGCAGTGGAACCACTAAGTTAAATCCCCAGCCCTAACAATGCTTCGTGATGGTAGAGAGGACTTCAGCCCTACAAGGTACTGTAAATGACATTCCAAAGCAATAAGGAGTTTCCAAACAGTCAGCCAAGACGGCAGAGGAAATAGGGTGCTACAGGCAGGAGTTATCTGCATGGACAGAAGACAAGAGGGCACTGAAGAACTAGGCCTCACATCACAATCAAAGTGGATATTCTGGCTATTCTGGGACAGATGACTCTGATAGGAAGTGCCCTATGAGGGACATAAAGTAGCAAAGACGCTTATGCTGTCCTCAAAAGCACTTACCAAGAAAACCATCTGCAGTTCAAACTTCCTGACTGCTAATTTTAACAAGAGTTCTGGCCCTTGGAGAGGCCCTCAAAGACAGACAAGCTGGACACAGGTCTGCTGGGCTGTGGTTTATAAGCATTGTGTCTAAAGAGCCTTTTTTTTCCTTAAGTGTAGTCTCCATGGTTACAATAAAGACCTCAGGAACAGATCTTCCCCGGGGAGCAAGGCCCTTAGAAAGGCCAGTCTGCATCTGACCTGGGCTCAGCCAGCCCTTCTTCCAGGCTCCAACCATGGTGGCAGTGCAGCCCATAAACTCCCAGACCCCACGGCAGCTGCAGGCTAGACTGTGGGGCTTACACTTTAGGAAACCACAGGGCTATCTTAATAGAACTCAACAGCAGACACTGGCAGCACTGACTCAGAAGGAAGCAGAGCATCAATGGGCACAAATGCTACCTGCTTTCTCTCCAATACCCATCCCCACATGGAACAGCAAGTCCCACAGAAAACACCCAGACAACCCAAGCCGGTGTGAGAAGACAGGAGGTACCCAAGAGGTGAGATTTGAAGAACAGGAAATGGGTGTTTTGTTGTTATTGGTGGGGTGGCAGATGAGAATCAATTAATTAAAAGAGCCACAAAAGCCGAGGATTTAGATCAGTGGTTCCGCTGGCTGCCTCGCAAGCACAAGGTCCCAAGTTCGATCCTTGGTACCAAAAAAAAAAAAAAAGAGCCACAAAGAAGGGATGTCAAAGCAGCCATTTTCACTAAGGAACTTAAGCCTCAAGAGGTGTAACTCCATGTTGACAGTTTCAATGCCGAGAACTCTAAACATCACTCCCCAAAACACCTTGTTAACCCAGATGTGCCACAAAAGTTCCTCTTTCCAGGAGTGTGCACACATCCAGTCCATAAGCAGTAACTGTGAGAATGGGCAGCTGGTTGACCAGTCCTGGTCCTCGGGCTGTCTCTGATGGGACTCATCCTGGGAGCTGCCAAGTACTGAGCCACACTAAAGCATACAAGATGGATGAAGCCACTACTACCAGAGCTACTGGTCCCTAGAACTTAGATGCCCCAGCATATATTCTCTCCCATGGGCTCTGACGTGGGGCAGTTTTGCCCCTCAGGAGAGACTTGGCAATGACTGAAGCTATTCTGGGTTGTCATAACTGGCAAAGGAGGAAAGCATTACTAGCATCTAGTGGGGAAAGGCAGGGATACCACTGAACATCCTGAATGCAAACACCTCACAAAAAAGAAAGACGGGATCCCAAGGCCAATAGTTCCTGCTAAGAACTCTGCTCTGGCCTCACACAACCTGCCCTTCCCCTCTGTAAGAGTCTCTAGTCACCCCAGGAAGTCTCTGGTGGGTCCCCAGTACTGGCACTATGCAGCCACCCCTTGTAGCATCAAGAAGTACAACCATGGGCTCTGGGATCATTGAAAGGGAGAGATCTTGTTTAGTCTGAATGTCCAATGCAATATTTGGGAAGCATAAAGATTTAGTTCTACAATACACACACTATTAAATGGCAGCGAGATTCTCAATAAGATGTGTGATTTCAAACTGGGGGACAAACTGGAGCAATCTTGGCAAGGACAAGCATAACACCAAACTCACTTCGGGTGCCCAGAGCCTACCAGAGTCCAAGGAAGGAAGGGGACCAACCCAAGGAGGGTATAGAAGCATAGGAGGAAAATCATGTGAATCAGGCCCATGCAGAGGCAGACAGGAGGGCAGTGGACACAACCCTTGGGCTGAGACTCCATCACCATTTCCTCAGCAACAGGTGCCAACCCAGGAAAGATGCTACAAACCCAGTGCCTGGGTGAAATCATCCTCCTGATGAGTAGCTGGCCCATCACTCCTCTCCTCACCAAATCAATGTAGAAAGACACCCAGGGCCCTTGTTGGAGTAAACACTATCCCAGTGTCAGCCCTTCCCACCTGGTCCAATTTCTCTTGGACTCCTGGCTCAACTGGTCCCACATGGGTTTTGGCTGGAACTCTGCTTGACAATGATGTTTCCAAATGCCAGCCTTTGACATTTCACTTGCTGTAAGGTTATGCCCAATTAGCTGGGCATTGCAGTGCACGTCTATAATTCCTACACTCAGAAGGCTAAGGCAGGAGAATCGCTGTGAGTTCAAAACCAGTCTGGGCT